CTGCTTCAGCGTTTGATCTGTTGCAATACATTGCATTAGTTGGAAGAATATGATGAAAATAGTCTCACACAGCTATATATGTGGAACTCCTGAAGGCTCCAGAAGCCTCGGAAGTCCTCAGACCACATTTTAAGAATCACAGAATTAGCACTACATTCCAGTAGGAACTGAGAGGGAGATCTTCCAGTGAATGGACAGCTTTTTGAAAGATAGAGTCTGAGTCATGGCATGTTGGAAATTGCAGTATTCTTGTATAGTGCGCCTCAAAAATTAATGCATACACAAATCACAAGATCCTTATTAAAAATTCAGATTCTGGTTCATAAGTTCTGGGGGAAGGCTCTAGAACCTGTAGTTCTGACAAGCTCCCAGGTTATGCCAATGCTGCTGACCCATGGACCTCACTTTGAGTAGCAATGCTCTGGTATATCATGCTATATACATCACCAGAAAGCCTATAAATGCACACATAAGTGAGCTTGTGTGTGTTGGGGGCAGTGGGGTGGGGGGAGAGGGTAGGATAGGGATGGGCAGAGGGAAGAAAGATGTAAACAAACATGTTTTTAAAAAACCTATAAAAAGATTTTCTTATAAATCCTGAAAGTTTTGGCCACCACTTATTAACTCTCTATATCAAAGCAAGCTAAGGCATAATGTTGCTACTGACAGAGATAGCATCCAACTGCCATGTTTGTTGAGGCAAGGAGGATGGCATTAGGTCAAACAAAACAAAACAAAAAACTGTTGCCCCTAATACAGAATCAGGCAAGTTATTCATGGACTCTGTTTGGGACTTAAGTTCATAATGTTATCAGTGGAGTTATGCCATGAAATTACTAAATATATGCTCAGTATGTAGAAAATTCAACTCATTTATTGTGTTTAGAAATCACATTTTAATAGGCTTTGCAGAAGATAGTACTGCACCAATACAAACTTCCTCTCCCAAACACATCACCCAAATCAAACCATATTGGCTAGTGTTGCTTAATAAAATTTAAAACTTAGCAGAAGCACGAGTATAGTTTATTTGGTTCTCAAATGCTACTTTTCATGTCTGCAATTCCTCCTTAAACTTAACTTCGATGACATTCATTCCTACCCAACATTAGCCACTCATCAACTTGGCCACAAATTGTAGGTTCACTGCAAATCATGTTATCTACCTGGAGCTGGGTCCTTACTGCTGCTCTGCACTTCTTTTATTAACATCTACTCCGTAACATAAACCATAACTCGACTCTTTTCAAGCCCACAAGTTTCTTTGTAAAATTATACAATTTTGTATTTAAAATTCTGTAACAAAATAATCACTTCCTCGAAATCAGCTTTTTGCTTGCCATCCTTAACATAATCATGCTAAAAATCAAAGCATGGACTTTGGAATCAAGGAAGATCTAAATCCGGATCCTGACTTTGCCACTTAATGGCTGTGTGATTTTGGGACCTGCTTAACCCCTCTGAGCCTATTTTTCTCTGCATCTTGAAAAGTAATCCCAATTGTGCAGGGTTGTCATGAGGGTTAAATGACTTATTTGATGTACCACCCTCTCCTTTCCTAACTAGTCCCCAAGACCTAGACATCAAATCCTGATACTTTTATAGACTCTATTAAAAAACAAAACAACTCATTGCCATCATCCTAGACTAGGCCCTCATTACCTCTTAACAAAGCTAGTATAGCTACCACTGATTATTATTGGCCCTAGTCCTTCCTGCACACTGGTCTTAATTATTGACTTTCCTGAAACCACAGCTCTAAACTTTCAAGGCCTGGCTGTAGTCACCCAAATAAAACTCACACTCCAATATCTGCCAGTTTACATAATGTGGCCCCAGCCTTCCTTTGCAGCCTGATCTCACACTATTTCCCTCCCATACCCAGGTAGGTAGCTTTGTTTCTCACATTTCCTGATGCTATATATTAGCCAGGATACCCTCCTTTCTTGCCTGCGTTCATTCCACTGGTTCCTTAAAAGTTTATCTTATTTGTAGGCAAATAATGTTTTTTAATGTGATTCCATCACTGGAAATTCTTTCTACCCACTTTGAACATCTTACTACTTAACTGCCGCTCTTCTGGAACTGACCATTCTACTTTGAGTTTTAGTTATTTTCAATATATATCTAGTGTTTAAGGCTAGATGGCAAGTTTCTGTTTAGTTCATACATTTCATACTCAAACCTTTTAGTTAATCCTAAAGGCATTAATAATATTGCACTTTTGTACCAAGGAAAGTTAATACCAAAAAGTATGTCTGGAAAACAAATGCCCTTGGGAAAAATATTCTGAATACATATAGTTGAACTGACATTCTACCACTCTCCTGTGCTCTTACCTATTGGACCTTTTAAAAAGACCAAATTCTTATCAATATGAATTCATTTTGTTTGATGTGAACATCTTATTGGACTCTCTTAAGAAACTAAGGAAAGCTGGTGAAAAGCATATATTAGTATTTGTAAGGCTCATGAACTAAGGAAAGTGGTACTTGTAAAAATGGTACACACTAAACATCTCTGATGTTAGATGTATCCCAGTGAGGTACTTTCAGTATCAGAAATGTGTTACTGGAAATTAAAATACAGTGGAGGGATATACTCCAGGATGTTGATCCTTTCAATGTCCTTTTGCGTTTTAGGTGAAATAGGCTGTGGTTATACTTATAATGACTCTCCACAGACCTTTTTTTCCCCCCTCAGTAACATGGGAAGTCACACAGCTGCAGCCCAGGTATTTCTATCCATTTTCAATTTCCTCAGCTATAGGGGCATCTCTTGCAGGAAACCTGTTCCAAAATCAGCATTTCAGGGCTCTTCAACCAACCTCCAAAACAGCAGTAAGAACAGTTTTTGTTTTGAAACACAAGTTGGTTTTATTTAAACAAACTTGGAATAAAGGACTAATCTGTTTCCCTAGGATTTAAAAAATTTGGTATGATATATACTATGTACTTTGTGTTAACAGAATTTTACTCAAATATATTTGCCATTTTAAACTGTACCAATTCAGTGGCATTTAGTACATTCACAATATTATGCGACCATCACCACTATGTAGTACCAGAATATTTTTATTACCCCAAAAGGAACCCCCATATGCAGTCACTCCCTATTCTTCCCAGCTGCTATCTGTGGATTTGTTCTATTCTTGATGTTTCATATAAATGGAATCACATATAGTATGAAGTCTTTTCTGTCTGGCTTTTTTCACTTACCATGTTTTCATGGTTCATTGATGTAGCATGTATCAGTACCTCATTCATTTTTATGGCTGAACAATATTCCACTATATGGATATATACATTTTATTTACCCATTGATCAGGTGATGAATGATTGTTTCTACTCTTTACCTATTGTGAATAGTGCTATGAAAACTCGTTTGCTTGAAACACTTGTTTTTAAATCTTTTGGGTATATACCAAGGTGTGGAATTGGTGCGTCATGTAACACACTACTTTTAAGTTACATTGCTGAGTTCAAAAACTCGATAGTACTATTAAAACAAGAGTGAAGGCGCCATGATGTTACAGACTAGAGGATTAACCAACCAAAAAGCAGTAATAGCTCTAGTTTTTTGTGGTCTCATTTTACTTTATGGACAGCAGGAAGGATACATGTGAGTTGGAGATTCTCTAAGTGTGCACAAAAATTACCTGGAAAACCTTTTTAAAAATGCAGAAAGCTGAGTCTCATGGCCAAAATTCCAACTCAGTAGGTCCAGAACTTGAGGATTGGTATTTTAAATAGACATCTTAGGTGATTTTGATGGAGGTGGTCTTCCCACACTACTGGTACCATATTTTGCCATGTATAATGTGCACTTTTTTGCTCATATTTTTTAGGGAAAAATAAGGATGCACATCATACATGGGTAGTACTAAATTCCACATCTATATAAACGTTTTTAATTATTTATGCTTATGTGTTAAAAGTGTAACTCTAGAAAAAAATAACGATAGCCATATGCAAAATAATACCCTGGAATATAATCGATCTTGTTTCTAAATTTAAATAAATAAAAAATTGAATTAAAAAATTAAAACAAAATTTCTTTTTTCCCCTCAAAGACAGGGCCAAAATGTGGGTGTGGAGTATACATGGGAGCACATTATACACGGCAAAATATAGTAGTTGATGACTCACTGAAATCATATTAGGCAGAGGATGTTAAAAGAGTAAAATGCAGGTTTCCTAATTGTCATCCTAACCTTCATGGAAATCCTGAAATGGAGATGACAAATGACGTAGTGGTACAATATATTTGCTAGAAGAAAACAGTCTTTCTATGGTAGCACTATTTTCTTCCCTTTAGTAGGAAAAATTTGACCAAGAAGCAACATACACAAACAAAACACTGTTGAACCAACCATTATTTCCAATACTCCTACTAAAAACATGTTAGTATCAATTTTGGCTTTAAAAATGTAGCCAATTCAATTTACTTTTTGATATTTCGTTTTTAATTAGAGCCTTGTTTAAGGAAGAAACTAGCTGCTAGATTGAGTTTCTTCTTAGAAAACAGGGAAGATTATTCATTATAGACACACAATTGCTTAGAAACTTACTGAAAAGTAAAAATTGCTTCCCAACCCCATTGAACAAGGCTCCAAGTCCTAAAAAGCTGACATGATATTTAGATATAGCCGTGTGAGACCAGCCAACTTAACTCTTGGAAGGTGATCCTGCTTCCAAGTACTGAATTCATGTTAGCCCTTAAAAACTCAAAACCACTTTGAGCAATTAACTGTCTCAGTTTAATCATATTTTATAGCAGCTCAAATCACTCATATATTTCTCCTTTAATGAGTAAACAAAACCCTTACCATTTACAATGCACAGAACACTATATAAAAAATTCCCATAAAATTACACTAGGATCTTCTTCATCAGTGAGGCAACTGCTGTAGTTCCCTCTCACTTGTACGGCATCTGCCTGAATGCATGTCCTTCTTTGTGATGGTCTAAATTTAGGTTAAGTACAAATCACAGCAAAAATTAAAGTTTTCATCTTTAATGAAATGACTTTGGAAATAACGTCTATTTCCATGACACCAATACTACAGTGTTCGGAGTCACAGTAAAGTACACAGAATTACATCCGTAATTAATATGAATGCCAGCATTTCAAGCAGTAATTTCTGTTACATGGCAAACAAAATCAAGAAAGCAACCATCAAACAAAAGAGACCCATAGCTTCAGACAAGGCAAATCCCAGGATAGCATATGAGAACAGCTGCTGCTTCAGCGAAGGGTTTCTAAAAGAGACACAACACATTTGTTACTTTGAAATATTTGAATTTCAGTATGTTTGGTAAATGTTAAAGAATCAGATTCCTAGCATGGGGATCTTTGTAAACTGTAAAGTACTAGAAGAGTATTTGCCTAGATCTCTTTTGCTTCACTTCTGACATTCCTTTCTCCTCAATCCTAATCATATGGGGAAAAGGGAGAGAGCTGTCTGTGTGTGTCAACACAAAATAGTTAAGTCTTCATTCATTTTGGGGAGTCTGACATTCTTCTTATGCCTGTGAAAGTATGTTCTATACTTTTTAAGTTCTGATAGTTTAGAAATAAGGTTTTGAACAATAAAATGGAAATTGACTTTTAAAGAATGTGTTCTTAATTATATTCCCAATGTAGTTTAACAATAAAGAGTGCAGACTGTGAATTCAAAAAGAGTTAAAATTTATTTTATGACACTTACTAGCTATGACTTTGAGACTGTGTCCCTAGTCCTTATAGGTAAATCGGACTATTACCACCAACAGGTGTTGTGGGGAGTTAAGTGAGATAATGCATGCAGAGCCCTCAAAATATAATGTAAGACACTGAGTAGGCACTTAATACAAAGTAACTATTATTATTCCACTAGTTTTCTAAGTTTCTAACCATTTCAAGCATTCTCTTATTTGGCAATGGAAATTACCTGGCATAACCAATGATAAGGCTTCCAAAGACTGTTCCAATACCAGCACCAGAACCAGCCACTCCTACTGTTGCAGCACCTGCACCAATAAATTTGGCAGCAGTGTCAATATCTCTGCTGATTGCACTTGTCTGAAACTCCCTTTGGATTAGTTGAGACACACCATTCTGGGCCCCATTAAATACTGTAGAGCCCTAGAGAACAGGAAATAAGGAAAGGTCAAATCAGTAATCACTGTTAGCTATTTTAATTACTGTACTGTCAAAATGATAACTAGTTCTTAATTTTGTAGTCAAGTTTGAGTAGGAGGTAGTGTAACACAATAGAAAAATCTAGGGCTTAAAATAATTCCAACCTCATAAAATAGGAATAACAATATCTACATCCCATAAAGTTGCTGAAAATTAAGGAACAATATATGTGCATATGCTTTTTAATATAGTATGCTTTCCAGTAACTTCAGCTATTATAATCTTAAATCTAGGCAACTCAAGCATATACACTTAAATATACACAGACTGTATTTCTTAGCCAAATCAGGTGGATAAGTTTTGGACACAAGTTTATTTTATTGGCTTATCTTCTGTGCATTTCTTTGCATAAAAAGGTAGAAAGGGTTGCCTTCAAACCATTCATTAATGAGTGTTATTTTTTCTCTTCACTTTAATCAAAACCATAGACTTATTTAAGAGTGTCAATTTCTATTATTACTATTACCTCTCCAGTCCTAGCCTCTGGTCGAGATAACACAGATGCAGAAATTGGTCTGTACGCAACTCTGGATCCAGCTCGGATCTATTAATGAAAGAAGATTCCATGTAATAAGTAAGGATACAGGTAAGACTTCAATGATCCTTCTTGGACCACAAGCTCTAAGAAAGCAAGCAGCAAAAAGGTATCCAAGTTCATGACTTTTCTATATTGACACTTATCTTGGCTCTTTGGTCATTTTCAATACATGAAGACATTTTAATACCTTTTAAGTTGCTAGCGAAATTTTAAAGCTTGCCTCATAAAGTATTTGCAATATGCTGAACAAAACTTCTAAGAATCACTTAAAAAAATACACGTATTGCTTTTAAACTTTCAATTACTGCAGTGTCCCAATTCAGATCAGAAAACGGCAATAAACATCATACATTCTTTGGAAAGTTTAAGTGGAGCAACAAGTGAGTATACTAGGAGTGTCACTATATAAGCTTCTTATTTAAAATAGCCCATTAGTTAAAAGCTCCCACCATTTCCAAGATACTCCAGTATGTCTGATAATCATAAAATTAAAAAGCAGTTTAAACGATTCTACATCAGAGCAAGAATAATCGAAACACTCTAACCATAAGGACATATTCCAGTTCAGCTGCTCTTCCTGCCCTTGAGTGTCCACTAAACTAAGGTCACACAAAATCCCTTCAGAACCAAGATCTGATTCTCTAAGGCAAAACCCCGTGATCTTCCCTTCACAGAAAGCCTCCAAAATGGTTATAGAAATAACGTTCTAGAGGCAGAAAGACTTTCAGCTGCTCAGCCACCTTCCTCCGCCCACGCAGGGTGAGGCAAAGTCCCTCCCTCTGCAGCAGCAAGTTTGACCTACAGAAAGGCAATGGAGAGCGCTGCCGCGGTGAACTAGGCCTCAGTGGTCCCCTACATCCCTCACAGCACCCAAACCTTAGCGTCACCCCCAAACCCGCCAGCGTGGCCGATAGGGTGGGGGAGGGGGAGGGGGCCGATCCGGGCTTGCAGGCAAGGAGGGCTTGACCTACACCGCTTGGGGCCTGACAGCTAGGCCTCGGCTGCCCTCCATCGCCCCGAGAGGGAAGGAGCAGAGTGAGGCGCTCCGGAATTAGGAGAAAACGGAAAAAAGGATACGGGGTTAAGGGGTGAGGGGAGAGCTGTCCCGAGAGGGCGGTGGGCGCAGCCGCAACGTGGCCCATTCAACAACGTGTACGCTCCAGGCCAACAGGTTGGGCCCACCGTGCCAGGCCTGGCGGGGCTACGCACCAGAGCGGGGTTGCACGCGAGCTTGGCGCAGGCGAACATCTTACACTCCTCGGGGCGGCGCGGCTGCAGGGCTTGGGTGGCAGGCAACGTGAGCTCCTCTCCCGCTTTCTCTCTGCGGAGAAGAGGCTTAAGGTCAAGGGCCCTCTGAGGGCCTGTCCTCCCCGACACGTCCCGCTGGCTCCTGTGCACGCGGTCAGCTTGGACCCCGCACCCAGCGAGGCGCCCGCAGAATGAATGGGTCCCCGTGGGCACCGCTCCGCCCGGACCAGGCCCTGCTCCCGCACCCACGACTTACCTTTCCGGGAGCTTGCTGCGGCGGCAGAGGTCGAAGGAGTAGGGCTGGGCGCGCAGGCGCGGTCCCACTCTTATTCGCCCTGTGACGCCCGGATGGAGAAGGCGGGGAGTCGGCAGCGGTAGGGAAGACGCTCAAGGTCACTTTGTAACAACTTTATTGGTAACCAGTTGGGAAGGACATTGACAGTCATCGATGATGGGCTGGTACAGCGCTCCCAAACCTTTTTGGCACCAGGGCCCGGTTTTTCCAGGGACTGGTTTTTCCACGGACGTGGGGGTACCAGGGGAGGGACGGGGGATGCGAGGCGGAGCTCAGGCCGGGGAGGGGGTGGGGGGTTGTCAGGAGGCGGAGCTCAGGCGAGCTTCAGTAGCTCACTGCCTCTCACCGCCTGCTGTGGACTGGGTTGGGGGGAGTGGGCGGGGCGGAGACCGGAGGCGGAGCTCAGGCGAGCTGCCCTCACGGAGTTCCTGGCAGCGCTTGGACCGGTACAGGTCCCCGGCCCAAGGGCGGGTGGATGGGGGGTAGTAAAGGAGGGATAAGAAGTTGAGAAGTAGCCCTGGCAGAGACAAATGAACAGATTTTGATCTGAGCCAGAGGAGGGAAGTGATAATACTTGTGAGATTTGGCATTGTTTTAGAGCTTTTTAGTAGGTTTCCTTCCTGGTCACTCTTCTGTAAAATAGGACTTGGTGTGTGTGGATAAAGTGTTCATTCCCTACTTGTCAGAACAAATTAGGGTGTCAGCAAAGTGAATGCATGTCTTTAAAGGAATCTGGAGAAAGATTCCAGAGACATGGCTAATCCTTTAGTATTAACCTAGAAGTATTGTGACAAAGGAATGAGCAAATGAATATATCTAAGAGATTTGTGAATTTGGGTACAATGTTGGTCGGCTCTTGGTAGAGTGAGGAAGGTCAATTTTTCCTCCACCTCTATGGTTGGAAGAATTAAGGGATTGTAATGTATAGGGCCTTGGGCTAAAGAAAACCTGAATACTTTCAAAACGTACCCAACTTGAAGACCGATTTTTGCTAACTTTGGACAAATCATTTTCTCAGAAATATCTCATAAAAATGGCTTTTACTGAACTACTTTACTGGGTCTACAGGTTCAAAGGTTAATCTCATCCAGAAATACCTTCACAGACAAACCCAGAAATCATGTTTAATCTAGGCACTCCTGTGGCCAGCCAAATTGATACATAAATTACCCGTCACATGCCTTATACTTCAATAATAGATCCTCTTAAGGGAAAATTATTCTAAATGGATTTGAGCATGGAGATGGATTAAGGAAAGTTCCTATCTATTCAGCCATAAATCATTGGTAGTAACTATTGAGGAAGAGGAGGAGGAGGCCTGAGACAAGCCACGACTCCTGACTGGATCACATTCTGACAGAGGCCAATGGCAGGGAGAGGCGAAGTCTAAGTTCAGGCCCTGCACTGTCAACGTATCAATAAGCAGATGAACTTTCCTAGAAAAGGAGAGAATAGGTCTTTGGTTGGGTTCTATCAGTCAGAGTTCAAGTATTTATGAGGATCATTAGGTATTCAAAGAACAGATAAATCTTTGAGAATGTTATATGTATGTGTGTGTGTATAACAGAGAGAGAAAAAGAGAGAAAGAAAGGATCCAGTAATTATTTGCTGGAGGAAGAAAGACTTTAAAGAATGAGAAAGTATATCCACCTCACAGGTTGGAGGCTAGAAGCTGGATTTAGGATTCTGAAGTGCAGCCCAGACAGCTGAGGGCTGTGACCACAGTCATGTCTCCAAGGTACTCTCTAGATCAATTTACTCAGACTTAACTGGGCTCTGCACCCTAATATTACACTGACAGAAGGAGGGAGTGGATCTTGAGTGACACCAACCCATGTTGATAGGGAGTGTATATTTGTACTGAGGAAGTTTGAGGAGAAAAGTTCTGAGAGAAGCACAGTGAGACCATAAAGATGAATTGAGAACTTTTTATGAAGTATTTAATCCTTTCTGTATTTTTTTTCTTAGACTATAGAAATATGTTAAATTGTTATCTGATAAGCCTGGCTGATAATCATGGGGAAGGAAAGAGAAGTCTGAAAAATCATTTCCGATATAGCTGCAACAATCTCCTATCCTGCAAGCCCCTTTGTATTCACTTATCAAGCAGTGGAGTGTTTCCTTTCTTGAATCTGGACTGACCCTGTGACTTGCTTTGACCAAGAGAATGTATTGGTTGTTGCAGTTTGTGACTTCTGGACTAGGCCTTAAGGGGTCCCATAGTTTTCATTCACTTTCTTGGAAGCCAGCCATGATATCAAGAAACATGGATGAAACTACTAAATGCTAAGAAATTGCATGGGCAGAAAAAAGCCTCATGAAAGAGAACCAAAGTGCCCCAGACTTGTGAGTGGGGCCCTCTTAGATTCTCCAGCTTTAGTCAAGCCTTCCCAGCCAACACAACATGGAACAGAAATGAGCCTTGCCCAAATTCCTGACCTGCAGAGTGAAAAGCAATAGAAAGGGTTGTTGTTTGGGTGGTTTGTTATATAGCAGTAGAAAACTGAAAATTGAGATATTGTCCCACCAAATATTCTCTATGCCTTTGAGACCTGGGAGAAGGTGGAGGTGGTGGCGGCTGTGGGGAGGCAGAAGCACAGAAGTTTCTTAAAATGGGAAATTTCAATTCAAAATTCCATGTAGAGCTCATAGCAGACCAGAAAGAGAAAAGCAAATGTCTCTGTGACTGACTCACCTTTCCTTGAAGTACTGCGGTAGAGTAGGGTTGCTGTTGTTAAAACTCTTATAAGATAATTCTGACCCGAACATATGGAAAGATGTTTAAATTATCTACTTTTAGAAGTTTTAATTTTAATAGCCTGTAAAGTTTTCAGCATTCTTCTCATGTTAGTGTGATTAAAAAAATACTATTTATGAACTGAAAATAAGAAAAGTAAGACAAAAATATTGTGGGCTCAGTTGTAATATTTTTCTTTTAAAAGTTTTTTGTTTATTATCATTTTCCTTCATTTGCTATCAATTTATCTTAAAAAATAAGCCTCTACACCTGCATTTATTCTAGATCATTAAATCAAAGTGAGCTCCACATAATATGTCCTCTCTTTGAACATGGTGAGTATACAGGAAAATGTAATAGTTTACAGTATCATTGGGTTATATGAAAAATTGGACTAAGGTATATAAAATTGCAGAAAAGTACAAATCAGTAAGTGTTTCAGGACTAAGTTGTGTGGTGTGTGATAAAGGAAATAGCTTAAGAAAAGAGATGAGCCTATTCAGAAAATGCTTCAGAGTTGAACTAGGATGAGAGAGATGGGATAATTTGTTCACAAAGATTTCTTGGGGATCTCTTGTATTTATTGATTGATTGATTTAATATTTTATTGTATTTTTTGATCCCTTAAATAAAATTAAAACATCCAGATCTACTAACTGCCTAGACTACTAATCACTTTATGGTACAGAAATTTTTGTTCTTAAACTTCATTTTTGACTCCTATACAAATTATTTAGCTACTTTCATGCCATCTAATATAGTGGAATAGAATATTTACTAAATGAATTCCAAATAATTCAGTAAAGAATTAAAAGTAAATATATTTTTCCATGTCTTCTCAGATGATCAGAGGGTCTAGGCTAACATTTATATTTTAGAGTTACATGAAAATAATATACTAATAAAATAAATATTACTCTATCCTTTTTTTGGGATAGGATATTCTCCTACCAAAAAAATTTTGAGAAAAATTTTGAGTTATTGAGAAAAAATTTTATGTCATGGTCAATAATTAACATAGAAAGACTATTTAAGTAAAAAGAAAATAAGTATATGGATATAGGTCAAGGCCCTCTGCTGACTCTTGCCCATCTCATAAATCAGTTACTCATTTTTCAATTAATTTATTCCAGACACTATCCAATATTCAATATCCATTGGATATAACTATCCAATATTCATTCTCTCTCTTTTTTTCTTACCTACAGAACCCTGTTCACAGTTAAACAACACTGAGCTTCCCAGGTTCCCTCACAGTTAGGAATGGTTAGTAATGGGAGGGTTGAAGCCTCTTAGAATGCTTTGAAAGGGGATAGATTCAACTGGCTCATTTCTTTTTTCCTTTTCCCTTTCTTTTTTTCTGCCTGGAATATGGACCCAGCATCTGAGGTGAAGTAGCATCCTTGCACCCATTAGTATAGAAGCCACACATTAGGATGGAGAAGCTGGAAACTAAAAGAAGCCTGAATTCTTATTTTTTTTTAATAGTTACAATAGCTCTTAACTGCCTATATATGGACTTTATGTTACATGAGAACATAAATCTCTATTTGCTAAAGCCACTAAAGAAATTATTCTGTTATATGCAGCTGAATACAACCCAAACCAATATGTAATTCTATAGGTCTACATTTCTGAAGCTGTTTAGTCTTTGGGTTGTGATTACAGCAGAAATGGCCTTTCGCTCACAGAATTTACATTAACATACATCTGTCTCTTTTCCTTTATTCCATGGTATAACTGCTGGGGACCAATCATGAGACAGAAACCATATCAGTAATTTGAACAAGGAAAATTTAATATAAAGATTGTTAACCAGTAAAAGGTGTCTAACTATCTAAGAAGGATAGAGTAGACTAAGGGATACAGAAGTAGCAACTGTGGGATTAGCTCTACCCTTGGCTAAGGAAGAGTGAACAGCAAGGAAGGACTTAGAAATTTAGAGAGGGATTCAATAAATGGTGTTGGGAAAATTGGACAAATATGTACAAAAAAATGAAACTAGACCACCTTCTTACACCACACACAAGAACAAATTCAAAATGGATTGAAGACTTAAATGTTAGACTTGAAATCATAAAACCCCTAGAAGAAAACATAGGCAGTAAAATCTTGGACATTCCTCGTAGCAATATTTTTTCTGCTATATCTCCTTAGGCCAGCAAAATAAAATAAAAAAATAAACAAATGGGATGGCATCAAACTAAAAAGTTTTTGCACAAAAAAGGAAACCATTCACAAAATGAAAAGACAACCAACTGGATATGAAAACATATTTGCCAATATATCTGATAAAGGGTTAATATCCAAAATTTACAAAGAACTTATAAAACTCAATACCAAAAAACAAACAAGCCAATTAAAAAATGGGCAAAGGACCCGAATAGATACTTCTCCAAAGAAGACATACAGATGACTGAAAAACATTTAAAAATATGCTCAACATCATTAATCATCAGAGAAATGCAAATTAAAACCACAATGAGATATTACCTAACACCTGTCAGAATGGATATCATCAATAAATCAACAAGTGCTGATGAGGATGTGGAGAAAGGGGAACACTCTGCACAGTTGCTGGGAATGCAGATTGGTGCAGCCACTGTGGAAAAACAGTATGGAGTTTCCTCAAAAAATTAAAAAATGGAACTTCCTTTTGATCCAGGAAGTCCACTTCTGAGAATTTATCCGAAGAAACACAAAACACTAATTTGAAAGAATATATGTACCCCTATGTTCATTGCAGTGTTATTTACAGTAGCCAAGAGTTGGAATCAGTCCAAGTGTCCATCAGTAGATGAGTGGATAAAACAGCTAAGGTACAATTACACAATGGAACATTACCCAGCCGTAAAAATGAAGAATTTTGCCCTTTGTGACAGCATGGATGGACCTGGAAAGCATTATGCTAAGTGAAACAAGCCAGTGAGTGAAAGACAATACCATATGATTTCAATCACAGGAGGAATCTAATGAACAAACGAACTAACAAGCAAAATAGAGACAGACTAATAGCAGGGTGACAGCTCTGGGATGGGTGTGGGTTGGAGGGCAGAGGGATTGAGCAAAAGAAAAAGAGAAATCATGAGTATGGACAACACTGTGGTGACTGCACTGTTGGTGGGTGGAAGGGAGGTGGGTGAAGGTGGAAGAGGGTATAAAAGTGATAAATGGTAATGGAAAAATAAGTTTAAAAAAGGGCCCGAAGAAAGAAGGAAAGGAAAAGAAGGAAGGAAGGAAGGGAGGGGAGGGAGGAATTTGGAGAGGAAGGTACAGTCCATGGCTATGGGCCTCAGGTGAATATGAGCCATGCTGAGGTGAACATAACCAGTTATCTCCTGCAAACCAATCGACTGACTCCAAAGTAAAACAGTCCAAGTCTTTTTCCTCCTGTTCTAGCCTCACAATGTCTTTCCATCGCCCTCTATTGGCAAAGCCTATTATTTTGCCAGTTGTCAAAGCAGAAATGCCTACAAGGTCCAGCTCTCTAGCATAAGGAAGCAAGACAGAGAAGGATGCATTTGTAGCTGAGAAGTCGCAAGTTAGTAACTGGCACAGCTGGTAAGATTCTCAAGGGCAGGGATTAGGTCTAATTCATGTTTATGTCTTCTATAGCACCTAACATGGAGTGTTAAACATATTCAATACATTTTTGTTCAGTAATAAATAAGGGGCTTAGAATGTACAGAGTAAGCAATAACTATATGCTTCCCTTTTAACTAAGATTTTAGTCAGTTTGGCCAAATTAGAATGACCTCTAGAATATCTTTTTCTTTCTAGCATTACAAAATTCAAACTTGGAGAACCCAAGGAACATTTTTTGATTTGTGGCACGAGTTTGTTCAAACAAATGTTTTTGTGTGCCTATGAAGGTTTCTGTGTTTATATTCTCATAGGCCTAAAGAATTCATTAAAAATCCAAAACATTAAAGCACTTTATAGATCCATTCTGTGATACAATAGAATATTGGCAGGGGTGGGACGTAAACTGAAGCAGAGCTAAGCCGCAGGCCGAGTTGTGGTGGAGGCAATGCTGGCCTGCGGTTACCCTCTCACTTCTTTTTCTCAATGCCTGTGGTCCATCCCTAGACAATTTTCTCTCTCTGGAGGCAGGTGGTGTCTTCATGGTATCTCCAGAATGCGTAAGGCCCTCCATGGTAAGCCACCTGTCTTCAGGTGGTGTCTAGCTTCTGAACTCTTATTCACATAAAATCTTAATCTCTTAGTGCTTGCTTCAGCAGCAGAAATGCCAAAATTAAAACAATTCAGAGAATATTAGCATGGTACCTTTGCAAAGATGCCATACAAATTCATCAAGTAGTCTATATTACTGTATGCTACCATTTACCTCTCAGGAGAAGTGAAGAAAATTACAAACGTATTTCCTATACTTAAAAACTAGAAGGTCATAGATTGTTCCCTATGGGGGAAGAAATAGGTTGGAGGGAACAACTATAGTAGCTAAACTTCTTTCAATATACTTTGTTTTGTAGATTCAAATGTGGAACCATGCAAACCATTTATAAAAGTAAATTGTAAATTTACTTTTAAATTTTACTTTTTAAAATTCAATTTAATTTTTTAATGTAAAAATTTGACTTTTTAAATTTATAAATTCCTAAAAAATGAAAGTAAATGAAACAAATGAATTTAACTGTATCTAGTTGTAGCATAACTATACAGGGAATATACAAAAATTTTCTATAAATGGATAAAAAGACAGTTCCTTGACCTCTCTGCTTCATGGGCTCTGGCCTCTGCTATTCCTCCAGCATGCTAACCACATTCCTCCTCACAGAGCTGTACTTTTTGTTGCTTTAGCTTAGAACACCTTCCCCCTGGATATTCACTTGGCTCATATCTCCACTTCATTCACCTCTTTGCTCAAATCACTGCTTTAAGAGATACCTTCCTAGATACCTTACCTATCTTTATAGTTCTTCATAGTGCTTGTTGTTACCTGGAATTATTTATTATTTGTTTGTTTAGCTCTCATGTTAGACTATAAATCCATGAGGGCAGAAACTTTGTTCATTGCTGTATCCACATTAATGAGTCCCATTAATAGGCACTCAACAGATTTTTGAGCAATGGAATTGGAGAACGAAGGGAGTAACAACATTTTTTTCACACACCTCTATATTATTTGATATGTGCATGAATTACTTTCAAATTTTAAAAACCAATATATTAGAAAACTTTTAATAATTCACAATAATTGATAAAATTTGTTATATTATCCCTTCTATGGTGCTTGCATTAATTAGCCCAAAGGAAGCATCCTTAAAGGTTGAATTTCAGATCTTGGTAATGGGCTTTTGCATTCTTTTAGGCAATAACCCTGCCAATACCTTTCAAATTATATTCAAACTCTAATCTATTTGGCATGTAAAGCATTGTGTATGTGTGTACCTTCTTATCTATATAGTCTGGAGTTTCTTGTATGTAATAACAAGATGTTATTATCAATTTCATTTATTTTTAAAGATAATCAGTTACAAGTAAAGGTCCTTATTCTCCTCCTACAAGAAATTAAATCCATCCGTATTTAGTGGGCCCAGATATTCAATCTATGTTAAGAAATAAGAAATTTTACAATGCTGCTAAAATAAATGAGAGGATTCCTGTTCATCAAATTTTTCTACTATTCTAGACCCAGTGTGGTCTGTAAGGCTCATATTCCTAGTCCTAGTGCCATGTGATATATGAGAGTCTTACATCAATTTCTGTAGTTACAGTTTCCATTTGGTAGAAATATATCGTAGTAAGTAATGCTTTATTTTCTTTCCACTTTTGGATCATCATGACTTTATAGAGGAATAACATGGTTACACAGCACAAATCATTCTTTCTTTGGCCGACTTTTACATCACTGATTTTAGTCAATTATTCCTGTATGAAGTTTGTTCAAACATAGTATTTGACTTTTCCTTACCCATTTCACCTTTCTAAGAATTTCTGAACTATGATACTAAGGTTAATTTCCTATGTCATGTCCCTAAGCTAGGGAACTTGACTTAAAGTAGTGATGGCTGGCTATCTAGTAAGTTTAAGGTAAGTGTGGTTTTCAGATGCAAAATGTCAAGGAGACACATTTTACAAAATGGGGTCTGTAAGTGGAAGCCTCAAGGTTCATTTAAGCCTCAAGGATTAATTTAGAGTACTTGCCTTTCTTGATTTGAATTAGAGGAGGGCATAAGCAAAATGTGCAAGTATGTAAAAACTTGTATTTGAACTTGAAATAGAAAACTTCCAGTTCAACACTCATGATCAATGACTACAGGAAAGGAAAACAAAGTTTGTATAGTAGATGAAGACTTTAATTTAGAGAATCTGATTTCCTCGTGACAAGAATGTTCTTGTTTGGAAATCCACACACAGAAAGCATGTATTTGATCTGGTCATAATTTTGCTCAGTGTTGTACAATCTTACAGGCCGGTCAATCATTCAGGAGAATGGCCATATGTTCATGGCAGCCACATGTTATTTAATTGCCAATTCTATCAGTTGTTCCAGGTTGTTCTTTGGCCAGATTCCATCTGCCTTTTTTGACCATTTAAGGGAGTCCCCTCAACTTGTTCTACCATAGAACTACCAGCAGAGAAGCACAAAACAATCCCTTCAAAGGACCAGTGAAACAGGCCCCCATACTATTTCATATTTTAAAAAAACATAAAATATATCATTCTATTGTAGACATTGATATAATTTAAAATGCTTTTATAGTACTTAGCAATTACATTACTTAATTCTCCCTGTTATTATTCTTTAGTAAAATTGATATATGTGGGACTAGGTCATGCTTTTCTGTGTTTGGCTCACTTCGTACCCCACCATTTTCTACTTTGAGAGTGCAAGAATCTCAGCTTTAGTGGTAAAGATTTATTGTCAGACCTTCCTCTTTCTTGCCCGCTCATCCCATGGCCCCTGGCTAATAGAGGATACATTAATATGCAACAACAGGGACAGAATTTTCTAAAAAAAACCTTTCTGAATACTTATTAGACTATGGCAAATAATATATAAATCATTTTTTAAAAGATCTTAACAATTTTAATTTCTCAAGAGTTAATTTTAATCAAATCCTTGTCCCTACCCCATTTCCATACTATCTTTCAACTTCTTGGCTCAAAGCAGACTATTAATGTTTTTTACACCATATCCTTATATTTGATCAGCATCAGTTAACCTCATTTGATCATATAGCATGCTGAGAGCTCTGGGCAATGAACCAGAAGAGAGTAGGGAGGACCAGGTAGGAGGAGTTCAGGTTGAACTCAGGACCTTAAGTGATACCTTAGTTCCCCACAGAAAGGCTGGGACTTCTTTAGATAAGTTTCAGAGGGTACTTTTGGTAGGCAGAATGATGCCCTTCCCCAAAGATGTCCATGTCCGAATGACCAGAACCTGTGAATGTTAGCTTATGTGTTAAAAGGAAATGTGCTGATGTGATTAAGTTAAATATTTTGAGATAGGAGATTATTCTGGACTTCCTGGGTGAGTACAATTTAATTAAGAATGTCCCTATAAGTGAAAGAGGGAGGCTAGAGGGTCAGAGTCAGGGAAGGAGACGAGACGTTGGAAGCAGCGTCAGAGTGATGCAGCATGAGGAAGACTCCTGGATGTTACTGGATTTGAAGATGCAGAAAGAGGCCTCCAGCTAAGGAATTCAGGTAACCTCCGGAATCTAGAAAGTCAAAGTAATGAATTCTTTCCTAGAGCCTCCAGAAGGAGTGCTGCTCTGCCCATACCTTGATTTTAGCCCAGTGAGACCTTTTCAGACTACGGTCCTTCAAATTTGTAAACTAATAAAAGTGTATTGTTTTAAACCATCCAGTCTGTGGTAATTTGTCATAGCAGCAGTAGGAAACTAATACAGTAGTCAAACTTGTGTGATTCCAGGTAAAGGTCATTAATCTAGAAGTAGAAATCAAGGACATGGAATGGAACCTTGATTTTGGAATTCAAGCAGCTAAGGTGCCCACTGTCATATGGTCATTCATTATGCATCCTAATTTAGTACAATGCCAGGGAGATAGGTAGCAGGCATGTGCTCTGACAAATGATGGCATGATCTCCAAGAGCATATTAGGTATACTAGCCAGCTGACTAGGTCATAGGACCAGGCTCACCCTAGTTACCCGGAATTTGGGAGGACAGGAAATAAAGCCAGGTACCCAAGAAACTGGATAGCAGTTATCAGAAGTAAAGATTAATATTTCCAGGCAAGGTGACATAGGAAGTTGACATATAATAATGCTGCTGAAATGCTGTTGAGCATAAAGCAACAGAACACTTTTTGAACCACACTGACTTCTAAAAGAAAAGCTGGAAATATGTTTTCAGATTTGTCTCGAAGTTGTTCTTAGGGTAAAACACCCTGCAGGACGAGGCAGCCAGAGGAGAGTCTAATATGATAGGGCGCTGGCCTGAAAGGGAACAGAGTGAGGCAGTGTAAGTTCAACAATGAATCAGTTTTACTGATAGCTTCCTGGAGGGTAAAAGTCATAGGCTTCTGGATTCACACTTCTTGATTATTCAGAGGACTTATCCATTTCTTTTTTTTCTTCCCCCAGTGAAACCACTCTATTTAGTCCAAAAATCTTACTCGTATTTGCCTTCTCTTATTTAGTCTATTTGTCTTCATTTTTTTTTCTTTTTCTGATTCATGTGTCATTTATACATTCAACAAGCATTTTATTATATATGATTTTGAGACTGCTTTCCAATTTCTCTGGTGAAAACTTTAGAATAAAATGTATACCAACTAATGTAAATGGGTCAAAAGAATTGAAAAGATCTTTCTCCAGACATAATATACATGTGGTCAATAAGCACAAGAAAAGATGCACAATACTAGTCATTAGGGAAATGCAAATCAAAACCACAATGAGATACTATTTTCACATCCTTTAGAATGGCTAGTAACAATAACAACAAAAAGGAAAATAACAATAGTTGGTGAGGTTGTAGAGAAATTGGAATCCTGGTGCACTAAGGGTGGCAATGTAAAATGATGTAGCTGCTGTTGGGTTCCTCAAAAACTTAAACATAGAATTACCATATGATACAGCAATTTCACTTGTAGGTATACATGTATACTCAAAGAATTGAAAGCAGTAACTCAAACACACTTTTAAACCTGTGTTCATAGCAGCATTATTCATATAACAAAAAGGTGGAAACAACATAGATGTCCAGCAACAAATGACTGCATAAGCAAAATGTGATATATAAATACATACAATGGATTATTATTCAGCCTTAAAAAGGAATGAAATTTTGATACATGCTACAACATGGATGAAACTTGAAAATGCTATGCTAAGTG